TTTTTTTGTCGAGGGGCGGGAAGCGAGGTGGAGAAGTGGCTGCTGTCTAATTACTTGCAAGGTTTGGCGTGCTGGCTTGGGATGTCCTCGAGGGCGCGGCAACCCTCGGAGGAAAGTGGAGCCGGCCGAGAGCATGACATAAACCTGAGGAGTACATTACATTGGGCAGGCAAGAGAATGAGAGAGCGTGCGTTGGTATTGCAGGTTTCTGTTTTTAAATATTTATTTACCTGTGCAGCACAGTGGGCAAGAAGGTAAGAGAGGTGGAGTAACGGAGGGAGGGAGAAGAGTAAGGGGGAGAAGAAAACCCTTGCAGTTCTCAGTTGGCATGTGTTCAATTCAACAGTTGACAGAAGTATTGTACATTCGGCAAAGCCTTGACTCTAGTCTGGTAGCGGCTTGATATACTGGCTGCCCTTTTTTTTCAGTGGGCAGCCGCGTGAAGGCTGTCCTCGTTGAGACAGCTCCCAGGGCCTTGGTCTAGGGCTCGGTATCAGTGTGCTAAGGCCGTTACAGATACCAAATCGATGAATAACGGTTAGTTCGGCAATGGCGAAGAACTGACGTAGATAGTAATGAAGGAGAGCAAAATGGGAGTGGGGGGGAGGTTGGCGAAGAGGAGGTGGAGTAGGGAAGACTCACGGCTGGGAAGATGAAATTCAGAGGTAACTTAACCTAACTACACTACACTTGTTATTATGGAGTTAATGCTTCCAACGGGGGGAACATGCAGCCAGAACCATGGCGATATAACGAGTGTGCTCGGTTAGGTGATGAAAGTAGTGCCCGAGGCGTACACAGGAGATCCAGTTTGAGGCCGTTGGATGGAGGGGAGGGAAACGTGCACGGATAGCGAGAGAGTTGGGAACACTGCAGAACCTGCTTGAGGCAGTGCTGGTCGTGTTGTTGGCTGTGTCGACAAGGCTGCTGTCGCAAAGGGGGTCTTTGAGCGGTCCTGACGCCCTAGCGGACCACTTCAAGCGGGGCCTTCTGGCCTTCAAGGGGGTCTTCGAGCGGTCCTGAAGTTGTCGGCTAGTTTTGGTAAGAAAAGGAGGACGTGTGGCAAATATTCTGGCTGCTTTTCAGTCCTGACGACATGGTATGGCCACATAGACTCGCAAATGCAGTGGCCCGGCGGAGGATACCGGTGTTCTTGGGGACAACGAGTAGGCGCTGAAAAGATGTGGGCTGTTTTTTTTGTTTTTTTAATCAGATGTAAAGGAGGAGATACGGATTGATGTGGTGCAGAAGGAATGGAGCGAGCTCTGCTCGTGCATAACGTGACGTGACCCAGATGAGATTAGAATGTGATTCCAGAGCCTGGCTGAGCGAACTTCCCAATGGATGAAGAGCCTGTTCTTTTATCCCTGTCTGTGTGCCTTGCAACAGCTGGGAAGAAGTTGCGGGGAAAGAGACGGCAGGTTGGTGCAGAGAGCGTGGAGCTGTTTGTGGGTTTGACCACTTGTGAAAGCATTCGCTGTTTGTTGTTTGTTGTGATGTTGCTCGCCTCTGAAGCGAATGGAAATAGCGAAAGGTGTTTTGGTGCAACTTGTGATGTTTTTCGTTACGTGTTCGGCATCCCAGAGGCTGACTGCTTGCTTTCGTTGATTACGCATTTGTTCAAAAGTAAGGTGATTGCCCTTTGTGATGCGCGAGCAATACTCTGTTATTGCCCTTTTGAGAAAAGCAGCTCAGCTGAGTCTCTATCCAGAGCTCTTTGTTAACTCCACAATGCCCACATCTGCTGCTGCTGCTGCTGCATGTTCACTCCACAATGTCCACTCACTCCATGTCAGTTGTGCAAAAAATTCTAAAGTCCAAACCTACCGATGGGGCCTCGCTCCAGTGCTCTCCAAATGTGCAAAATGAGACCGAATACTCTGCTAGAACATGGGAAGATGCACCGCCATATTTTTTGTGTTTTCTGCATGTGGAGAGTAGTGGAGCATGATGTCATGCTGACACACTCATCCTCCTGTCAAATGTTATGGTGTGATCATCTGTGATGAAGGAACTGATCAGCACATATTGCGAGGTTGTGATTTTGAGTGATGGGAATTGAGCGGAGCGATGGAGGAGGAAGAGAGAATGTGGCCTGGAACGACCACAACCTTTCCCGCCGTTGGGAAAAGGGAAAAAAACGGTACTCCAAGAAAATCGGGTGCTGGGCCCGACGATGGCCGGCCGTCGTTGATAAAGCTCATCGGCGGTTTGAGGTTTCGTTTTTGGCCTCTTAAAAGATTCGTGGCCCACCCGAGGCCGGCATGGGAAAGGTACTGGTGGTTTAACATATGATTGCACGTTATCTCTGATCGAGTTTGATGTATATATTAGTAGGGGATTCTGCAGACTGTTGAGGGTTCAGCCTCCTGATGAGTCGGTGAAACTCCGACGAAACAGTTTGTCACAGCCCCTCGTTTGATTGTTGTCCTCTTCTCCCTCTCTGCCTTCGGTGTACCGGGCAGCTCTGTTTGACGATGTATGGGAAGTTGGTTGGGAACCATTAAAAAAAAAAAAAAAAAGGTCCCTTTTGCATTGTGGCTGGAGACCGGGTGCAGCGTGAATTTCATCAGAAAGAAACCCAACTTGACGCTTCCCTTTGTTAATCCTAGGACAGCACCATCGATTACTTCCTCGTTGAGGAAGAATGTACGACCGCTTCACCCATCCTTCAGCTGTGGCTTAATCCCTATCCTCGTACTATGGCCGTCTGATCTCCTATCCTTTTTTTTTCTTTTTTTTTTTTTCCCTTTTTCTTAAAAAGAAGTGATTAGATCTTAGTAGCACGTGTAGGACTGCTGCCAGTGGAATTCGAACTCAGGTCTGTATTTCAGCAGTTCATGGGTGTACCAACTGAGCTAGACCAGTTGATGTTGACCTCCTATCGTAAAGCTTCGGAACAGCGGGAATCTCTCTCTCTCTCTCTCTCTCTCTGTGCCTTGTCTTAAATCTGGCATCCGCCTTGCTCTTCTGCAGTTTCTGTCACGTGAATCCCCTGTGATATTCTCTTCCCGTGGTAACGTGAATCCCCTGTGATATTCTCTTCCCGTGATATTCTCTGTTTGTTGTTATTCCCTCTCTCCGTCTACATCTTGTCCTCTCTTAATTCTAATCCTTCCGTACTCTTCTGTAGACTCCATGTTGATGTCAGAGAACTCAGCCATGATCTTGACTGTGTGTCTGTCTGGTGGTCCATTGTGATCAAGAAAGAGTCAGACAATTAGCCATTTGTGAGCAGACGAGTGCGTAGTAGAAACCCGATTTAATTGGTCCTTGCTCGCCTGCACGACCAAAACACAAGAAGTTAAGTTAAGAACACAGCATGCCAGTTTCTCCACACAGAGAGAACTGAGTATCCGTGTATCTCCGGCCGATGTCATTGCAAGTGGATCGCCCACGTTATCTTGTCTGTTGGAGTCGTCCAGGGAGCTCGTCAGGGCCACGTTATCTTGTCTGTTGGAATTGCCACGTTATCTTGTCTGTTGGATCGCCACGTTATCTTGTCTGTTGGAATTGTCTGTTGGAATCGTCCAGGGAGCTCCAGGAAGCAGTGGTGGCTCGTCTGGGAGTGAGTGTTATGCGATTGAGGCCCGTCAAGGCCAACACACACTCACCCACACACCACACACAACCCACTCATACTTATACTGAGACACTCACCCTCGTGTTGGCCACATAGCCTACTAATAGTGTGATTTGAGGTCTTAAGCGGACTATCACAGCTGGTTGCACTAAGTGCGCTGCAGGCGGTTATCGGGCTCAAAACCCAATGGGACTAACACAGCTGGTTGGCTCTTTTAGTGTGTTCCAGGCGGGCATGGGGCTTGAACCCATAACCTCCAGAATGCTGCTTGTATGCCTAACCAACTGAACTGGGTCGCTTTATTGCTCTGTGGAATTTTGAGCGATATTGAACTCTGTCGTTTCCGTAAAGCACCATACTCTCCAGAGAACCTTTTAAAAATAAAAAAATAAAAAATAAACAAAATAAAGACATCTGACCTTGCAGGACCAAACAGAGGAGCTCCAACCCATAAGAGGTCGTGTGACTCGAGTTTTTTTTTTTTTGTTACGAAAAAAAAAAAAAACACGAGTGACCTTTTCCAGTTGGGGTCTGTGGGGGTTCCCACCTGACGCATGTTTTCATGACAGACCTTAGGATATAACTTTTGACAGGGAACATACCCAAAAACTTGTCGTGAAAACTGCCCTGGGAATACGAAAATGAACACCCCACCTGCCTCCCCCTTCCCACCCCTTCACCCTCCCTTTGAAAAAAGGAAAAACATTGGAAACAAACAATGTACAATCCTAATGATCCTTCTCGAACTGAGAGTACGAGCGCTTGTGGTTGCTCGAGACGAGGAGGAGGGGGAGGAGGAGGAGGGGGAGGAGGAGCATCTTGGAAAGAGAGGACAGGGTAGAGGGATCATATTAGGATACAAAATATAATGAGCTGGTGGGGGAGTGGAGAAGAGAAGTCCCGGGAATCCCACCCTTTTTTCCCTTCTGTTTATCTTAGACATTGAAGCTCAGCAGACAGTTGTTTATTACCGACGACCATAACTGTCCTGTGCCTCAGCTTTCCATGGTGACAGTGCAAGTTTTCCGAGACGCTGCAGCAGACTGGAATTACGCCCAAATTCGTTTGGTCTTACAACTTAGGTGCGAGTGCTAGTTTGACTGACTTTATCTGCATCATTCCTCGACAACTGCACTCCGGTGTGTTTGGCTCCGACGAGATCGCACTCTCTGACTCTCAGCCTGATGGTTGCTGAATTTTTCTTCTAAGGGGCTTTTTTACGGTGGAGACCTTTTTTAACCAAACCTCGCGGTAACTGCGTAGGGGGGAGATGTTCGCGGAAGTCCCTAGGTAGTTAGGGTGTGAGTAAGTACGCCCTAAGCTCTCGCTGGCACCCATCTCCGTCCCGTCTTGATGACAATGCAGTTCCTGTCAGGCCGTCGGCGAGGGTCAAAGTTGACGTTAGTGCCATCTCTGTACTCGGCAGCCCGGATGAGGATCTTGATGCAGACGTCCAGGAAAATCGCTGGGTCTCTGACATTGAACTCCCGGGAGCTGACGTACCGCCCACCAGTGTAGAGGTGGTGTGCACACTTTTCAACCGACCACCCTCTCCTCGTGTCAATAGAACAGTTGTATGAGTTGGCCACCAACACTTGCTTCACCCTTGAGCTGCACACCACACACACACACACACACACACACACACACACACACAAGCTTTAGTTTTCAGGAAAGCCGCCTTCTGTCCTGTGATACCACATTTCCATCCGGACAGCACGGTCCCACCTAACAGTGGAAGAGGTCGTTTTGCATATCTGTTACTTGGCTATTTGTTGGATCATGATAAGTGGCCGGTCTGACTGCCTGTTGCTCTTTTTTTTTTCTTACGCCATTTTTTAGATGATAGGATAGGTCGTCTACTGGAGTCTACCTGTCATCTTTTTTTTTTTTTTTTTTTTTTCCTTTGCTTTTGGGGATATATGATTGATGCCCAGCTGGAAGCCCGGGGTGAAGTGGCGACCCTCTGACCTTTTTTTTTCCCTTTTTTTATCTTTTCCTTGTCCTTAAAAAGAAAAATGGGCGGCCGCAGTCTTCTGACATGTACAAGGTGATCAGCCCCAGGCATTTCGAGATCGGAGATCATTACGGCAGTTGTTATAGATTATATTATATTAGATCTCCTAGGGCGTGGACCCACCAGCGAGGTATTCTACTTCGCGGTTGACGTTGTCGATCAAGTGCGACTGGGGGTGACGTAAGCGAACCGCACATCTCACTTCGCATCGACATGCCCGCCTGATGCAGTATACAGTGGTGCGGCACTGGTCCCCATGAGAAAAAGCACCGACCAGTGAACTGGCTGCTACTGGAATTTTTTATTGATATTAAACATTGACATGGGTCTCGATTTCCACACTTTTGGAGGGGGTGGGGGGGTGTTTTTGCGACTTTGCGCTTTGCTGTTTACGCCTTGCCGTACAAGCGAAAAAATATATAGAAAATTTGTGGGCAGTTTTTCGTTCCGACAGACGTGCAGTTGGGACGTAGGGCCTGGCAACGCGAGGATAATACTGCACATGCATTCGGACTCTTTCTCGGCACAGTCCATTCATATTTCTTGATGCGTCCGGATGAACCTCCAGAAATTAATTCTGTGTGATTCATTCTACGAGTTACCACCACTTAAAAAGTAATAAAAAACATTTAAAATGCTGGCGCACGTCGTGGAATACTTTGCTTGTGGGTCCAGGCCCCTGTACTGGGGCGAGGTCCCACTAGCAAAGAGGATTGGATGGAATGCCTGAATCTGGACGTGTTTTCAGCACAAATGCAGAAAAGCAGTTCAATCTTCATTTTGTCCACCTTTCCACAATCGCGTCCCGATTCAGGCGTTCAATCCAATACTCTTTGCCAGTGGGACCTTGCCCCTGTACTGGACTCGTATAGATTATATGTCTCCTGTACTGGACTTGTTGTAGGTAGAGTATACCTGATGATTGATTACTCTTTATTGAGTTTCGGTCCGACGACTGTTATGACAGGTTTGTTGAGAGTGTAAACTTCAAAATTTGAACCTCTTAAAAGGATTCTGAAATGGAAGCTTTTCTTCGGTTAAAAAAAAAAATAAAAAAAAAAAATAAAAATCCATGAATGTTGGA